ACAGACTTGACTAGCACAAAACCTTATCTACTTGAAAAAACAAACATGGATAGAGTGAGTCACACATATGCCCTGCGGATATTTATTGGCTTTATTCAGCTGTGATTCTTGTCAGCAAAGATAATGCAGTTAGACAGGCTTGCTTTGATTCCAGCCATCAAATATCATCTAGTCCTTGATTCTTTGTTTGACTTAAAAATGCAAAGTGAAAGCCACATCTGTTACTAATGCTGAAATATGCTTTTGTTTGTGCGAGCGAGTGCAAATGTGTTTGCGGTACATTTGTATGTGGCATACAAACAACGCCCACAATCCAGTTTAATCACCTCCTAAATGTGCTGAAATATCTTAATTAGGTCGTTGTTATTCTTTTCAGCTTAAATGCATGTGCAAAAATGGGTGTTTTGGTAAATTCGGCTCTTGAATGGAGACGAGATGGAACAGCGTGTTGTATTTGATTGGAGAGAGAGACAATACAAGCTTGAGTAAGAATGAAAAGATAAACACACAGCAGAGTGCATTAGCATGGGGTAGTTTGCGGTTCCACAAAGTAGTTCACAGATCCACATCTTTCTAAACCCCTGAGGCCATTGCTCAGGAGAGAGAAACACCATAAACCAGACCCGACCAGAGTAATATCAATCTATAACCCCACTCCAAATGCATTCATTTCACTCTGTGTTTCTGTCATCCCCCCAAAAAACTCTGGAAAATAACTGGAGTCAGCATATATCCGAGGAGGGGAGGGCAAAAGAAAAATAGAGAGCGAGATCGGCAGAGTAGAACTGTATTAGCAGTTAGGGCTAGCGCTCAGAGGATCATTTGGTTCCTGAAATGAGCTGCCGAACCCAAACACACAGCAGCCTCATTACATAGATGGTTATAAACAGGATTAATGCAATCACAGCTCAATAAAAACCTCAAGCAATGTGCTCCACACAATGTGCTCTTCACTGAGCCAAAACCCTAATTCACGCTGATGTAATAGGAGTGTTAGCTCCTGGGACACAGACGCTCATTAAAAACAATGTTTATTCAAGTCGATTAAACAGTAGCAATGATAAATTAGCGACATTATTGACCCTGTTCCTCACCCAAAGGTAAAACAATGCAGCAGCACAACAACATGTTTACTCTTCCCATACCCACAATGCAACTTAAACGCTGCTTGGTCTGAATTGGATTTTACACAGAAAGAGAAATATGGGATGAATATCCCTTTTTGAAGATAAAAAAAATAAGTAAACAACCCTTCCCACCACAGGGTTTTGCTCTGATCACATGAAAGAGAGACCACGCACAGCCCTGCAAATTAACTCAAGTGTGTAATATGTCTATTAAACAGTATCAGGGGATAATAACATTCATATTTTCTATTTATAATATCTTTTAAGCATAAACGATCCGTTTCTTTGCATGTGGAAGGCAGAACACGCAGTTATACACATCCTCCACAAATGCCGACTAGTAAATAGTTCAAGAAAGGCAATTAGTGCAATGCAACTAAAATATTTTCTTAACCCTAGAATGCACTGACCAAAAAATAAATATAAAGGGGATCAAAATGACTCGTTTTGGAATTAATACTTTCTTTAAATAATATGTGTGCTAATAACTAAATAATTAAAATAACTGATGATACACACACATTTTAATATATCAAACATGTATATTTGTAATTGCACCACCATATTTGTTATTAATGATTTGTAAATATCTTACACTTCTATAGATGTAAATATGTAATAATGTTCATATTTTAGATGCTGTCAAAATGACCATATTGTACATTTCAGCATTTATCAAAAAATACAAAAAAGTTTGCGTCCCTGTAAATGTTAATTCAGTTTTATTGTTAAAAATTTTTTATCCAAAAATACTGTGTTGAGTCAAAAATCCATAGGAAATTAATAATGTACTGGTTAATTTTACCACCTTTATACATTCTTAGGGTAGTGATAACCTTTTCCCCCCAAATATGAAATATGAAAATGCCATTGATGAGGGTCAGAAACAAGTATTTTGATGAACTAATGGAATATCAAACAATTCAATGTTTTTATTGATACATTTTTAAAAAAGTAATTAATGCCGGATCAATTTGACCCCCTTTATGCATTCTAGGGTTAACCAGTGTTATTTATTTATTTTTTAGTAAAAATACATACATTTATCTTTAAAGTAAGATGCATTTATAACTCATTTTCAGAGAATACATTTTAAATTAAGTTTATTTTTCATACCTCATTGGCAAATTGTTAAGCATAAAACCTTTAAATATATGCTTAAAACAAGAACACACAATGTGGTAAGAAAAATAAAACTTAATTCAAGTCTTACTATTTTAAATTTATCTTATTTAATGGGTTTAAATAAATGAAAATTATCATTGCAACATAAAAACAAATAAGCATTTACAGTTTGCAAATACAAAAATAAAAAACCAAAGAAAACTAAAGAAAATTAATAAGAGTAAAAAAATCTTCTAGATCTCTAGAGCTGCAACATAAATAAACTGATACTGTGAAGGGTAAAGTTTGCTCAAAGTTTCTGGGAAAAGAACATACTCTTCAAGCAAAATAATAGAGCTCACTCTAATATTCATGATTTCACCAAAAACAACTGGTCATATACTAAGTTTCAGTTCTTGGTTGTTTAAGACGTTGGGCTTTATCAATAATTCAAATTGCTAATAGCCAGACCAGCACTGAATCTTAGAATTTGTGCCTGCAGAACTCTGCAAATTTCCATACAATTGGAACGTCTGCCGATCACAAAGTTATTCACATCCCCTGACCCTAGTGAGAATATTTTGGCTAATCTGATAATGCATGAAAGTATAGCACAAATCACATTTCAGTGCATTTTATGTACATGCATTTTTTCCACAAATTCCATCTAAACAACATGCTTAATGATCTATCAACCTTCTCTATGACAATCGCATGCTATTTCACTGTTAGTGTTCACTACAGAGTTCTACACATGAAGGTGAACTCTAGAAAGTCATTAAAGCACAAATAACATTGTTGCATGTTTCTTTAATGAGAATGGATGATAGCGGGCCTAGCTGCCCTCTTTAGATTGAGATCTAGATAAGAAAAGGACACGGTATGATCGTAATCTAGAAAAAAAAAACGTACAAGCGAGTGATGCGAGACTGAAGATACGGCACGGGATCACAAAATCTCTCGGGTTTATACAGAGTCCGGCGAAAGAGCCGTGCGGCTTAGAGCGAAGTGCCATTTAAAGGTCGGAGATGTGTACTTACAGAACTAAGTGTGACTGGCAGACTTATTTCAGCCCTTTATTGAAACAATGTGGAAACGCTGCGGTAAATCTAAATGACTGTAGTACGGTGAATGCTCGAGGGAGCAGGTGTGCTTCAAATCAACAGGCTCTCGTCTGTCTAATACAAATTTTTCAAAGAAACAAATCTCTGACAAGAAACAAATCCTGGTGCTATCGAGATATTAAGATCTTATCGCAGGGGGGTCTGTGTCTTAATTAAGTTTCACACATCGTTTGGATAGCTTCCCACTGATTCCGGCCCCATCAAGATTCCTGGTTGCCAGCTCTTTGGAGATTACATGGCATGCTTTTACAAAAGCAAATCAGATCTGAGAGCCAACAAAGTGTTAAATTGATCTAATGGCACAAAAGCATGGTGTTTATAAGTGGTGTAATGTTAGCAATGCCAACAAGCCCCACTATTTCAGAGACTAATTTGAGCCACGTCTGCAAGTTTTTGAATCACCATAAAATCCAAAATAACCCTATTTACTTCCTTAATGCATCTTTTTGGTCTTATTGTGAACAATTCATCAGTGCATGTTTCAAATGTTTGTCTGCCTAATATTTAATTAAAACAATTTTGGCCAAGCTATTGGGAATTGTTTTAGTAAATTTGCATACGGTCTACAGAAACTCCATTCTGGTGTATGGCTCCCATTTATTCCCCCCTATTGTTCTGGTTCTAAACCAACATTGCTTACTTTCATCAGTGGAACACAAAAGAGGATGTTTTGAAGAATGGTTCATTGGGTTTTGGCCATACAATGAAAGTCAGTGGGGTCCAAAACAATAGTGGTATATACAAGGATAATTGTATACATTTCTAAAAATATCTTCAGAAAAAAGAAAGTCACATCAGTTTGGAAAGACATAAGAGTGAGTAACCAATGTCAGAGTATACATTTTCGAGTGAACTATCCCAGATCGAAATCTGGAGACAATGGAAGTATATAAACATAGCGTCCACCTGCTAAATGATGTGAGGAGTAAATAGGTCGATCCTGTGGTCCAACAAGGCCCTGACTTGACTGCATCCATTCTGACAGCTGATCTTTTATCCCTAAAAGCAGCTGAAGCTCTTAGCAGATACCTGTACGGTATCATAATGGAATCCTATCTCAAACTCTTTCACTTATCTCAAAAAAAAGAAAAGAAAAAGGAGCAGTCACTTCTGTGTCACATTAACATTTCAATTACCTGATCCATGTAACAACACAAAGGAAGAAAAGGGGGGGTGTGCGGCGTGCATGAGCAGGTACGGCAGTCCAATTGCACCCCATGAATCATAGCGCATTAAAATGCAGTTTTTTCCCTGATTAAGTGAAATGGTGCACAGCAGAACAGAGCTGTAGACAGGCCCAAATGGAGCTGATTTGTTCATGTGGCCTGAAGATAAGCAAAATGGACCACTCAGCTTGTACCGTGGATACACAAACACACACACACACACACACACACAAACGAATACAGCTTGGAATAAAGACACCTGATATATTATCTAACTCATGCTTAATATGTCAGTGGGATGCGGTATTTTGCTAAATCATCAAGGAAAAAAGTGCACTGTTCTGGTAATGGGAAAACACATCAGCAGTACTGGGCCAATATTGAGGATTGTGGTTTCATTTTGAAGGCAAAAACTATTGACTAGAGATTTGCTTACTTTTCAGAGATTATGTTAAATATTTTCATGATATGCATCGTACCTGCAGGTGATATTATTCTCCAGACGATGGCAGGTTCTGGTTTTCCGTTAGCCAGGCACATCAGAGTGACGTTGGAGCCTTCGTTCACCACAAGATCCTTTGAAAGGTTCACAATCTTTGGAGGAACTGTGAAACAAAAAGCAAAGTTACGTTAATAGCCCAATTTCGAATGTCCACTTTAGACATTCTACTAACTATCTATGAGTAACTTTGCAACTACATGTCAACTCACACTCAGAGAATTTGTAGACTGTTAGTTTAGGGTTAGGATTAGTAGAATAAGTTGACTTGAACTTGCAAGTTACATACAGTCAGTAAAATATCTTTTGGGGGAGCATCAAAAAATAGTGTGAGCAGACAGTTTAATACTCTGATTGTTAGTTCACATACTGTTGAAAAGTGACGTATAGTTAGTAAAATGTCTAAAGCGGACTATTGAAATATTGAAAGTTATTTGAAAAGTTATTATACCAAAAAAATGTGTTACAATAGTGAACGTTAGTAATGATACACAATACTCTTTATCAAGAATATAGACTGCCATAATTCAGAAATCAATTGTCTTTTCCACAGAGCATGCAAACGTAAATGTAACATTTAATAAATGTAACACTGATAACTTACATTCAAGGTATGTTCAAGCAAATTTTTTTTAAAATCATACATCATTTATTTAAACAGTGATCTCTCTTCAAAACGTTACATGTTTTGGTGGGTTTTAATTTTTTTGGTGGGGCTTGACATTTTGATTGTTCAAAAATGTACAATAAATATTACAGAAAAGCTCTGTAACATATTTGATGGGTACCATTTCTTTCTGGTGAAGAGAAATTGCAAACTAGACACATTACACAAGGTTGATTTATTGATTGCCTTTGCACTTTGAACACAATTTAAACAGACTGCAGAGCAAGCCACAATTCAGGCCTTTATGAGGGCCTTGCAGATCTAAAGAAAATATACAACTCAGCAAAACTAAAGATGTTACAAATACTTTATTTAGTTACCCTACTGGGAATGGTGATAAAGGGTGTCGACATCCTCCCTTCAGGAGAACAAATTATGGCCTATTTTTAAAAAGGAGTGTTAAACATTTACTAGAACACTCAAAGAGTGTTTCACTCAACACTCAAAAACACTCAAATGTTTTGTTTGTTTTGTTTTTTGGTGTTAGATTTAAAAAAAGTTGTCAAGGAAACTACTTTAAAACTTGAAAAGAATGCTAAGCTATACGCTACTACTAATATAAAGCAGCTTTTGAATCAACATCTCAATTAAGGTGAAAGCATTACATTTGATCAATTTAGATTACATACTATATAAAACTAAAATGGAGAACACACCATAATTCACATTGAAATATAAGTCAAAAACAATTGCGAACAGCTGCATTCACCTGAATACAGTATCCATTTATATTTGCATATTTTACCAATATATACACATTTTGGGCCCTATTTTAACGATCTAAAACGCAAGTGTCAAAGCGCAGAGCGCAAGTAACTTTGTGGGCGGATCCCGGCGCTGTTGCTATTTTCCTGGCGGGATAAATGCCTCTTGCGCCTGGCGCAAATCTAAAAGGGGTTGGTCTGAAGTAGCTTCATTATTCATAGGTGTGGTTTGGGCGTAACGTGAAATAAATAGGGGTGTGCAAAAAAATCGATTCACATTTGAATCGCGATTCAATCTTTACCGATTCAGAATCGTTTCATAGAATTCCAAAAATCGATTCATATATTTTTTTTTAATGGCGTGCACGGGTGGAGTGGCAATCGGGTGAGTCGGGACTTTTACCGGTGGTCCGGTAGTGTTTCGAGGCTGCGAGGGCCGGTCTGATAAATAGTTATACATTGCAAGTTCTTGCCGCCCGCTGGTCAAACTGTGCAGCCTCTCTGCTCAACCCGTAAATAAATGCATCGATCCGCAGATCTTATGTTTGAGTTCTGTAGATCTTTTGCCAAGCGTGTCAGAGGTTACGGGTTCTAAACCGCACTCGTATAGTGTTTTCTCTCTCTCATCAAAACCGAATATGTTCTTCACGTTTGTGAGCATTTTATTTTGTGATTTTACCGGAGTCTCCACAACGGCGATAGATTGAAGCGCGCGTCCGAGTGAAGACTGCGCGAGCCACAGAGAACACTGTATCCATGACACTGATAGCAGCGGACACGAGCGCTCAGCTTGATTTCAAAAACAACAGATCTCTTATTTAATAGCAAACTAAATGAATGCTCTGCTAGTTAACTGGAGATACCCGCAAATTACGCCTATGAACGACTTCACTGGATCTAAACAAATCAATCTAAACCATAGATGTTACCAGTAGCGGTCGCTTATTTAAATCTATTTAAAATAATTTCGCAAGGGTTCTATGACATTAGTATATATTTTTAGGAAGTTCAATGTGCCCAGTCGAGTTCACATTTCAACAGTCAACCTGGTAGCTGAAGTAGTCCTTAAACCACATTTAGCATAATTGTTTGTTTGATCTGACTACAGCACTTTAAAGCTAAATGTAAAAGCTTCTATTTAAGTTTTATTTTAAACTTGAATTAAATGTAAGCTGGCCATAGCTTGGCACTTCGCACTTTTAAGTTGCAGAAGTTTTTATTTTTGTATGAAGTCATATAAAGTAATATCAAACTACATTTAATTTGTTGTGTTTTTTTTCTTTTAAATTGTGTCTACTGCAATCAATCACAGGAAAAAGTAAACTACATTTATATACTGCGAATCGTTTTTTGAATCAAGAATCGTTTTTGAATCGAAAATCGATTTTGAATCGAATCTTGAGACAAAAAATCGGTATCGAATCGAATCGTGACATTTTCTGAATCGTGCACCCCTAGAAATAAACCAATTAGAGCGTCATCTCACATTCCCTTTAAGAGCAGGCGCGCTTGTTCTAAAGCGGATTCCTATTATAACGGCGGATTTATCTATCTATCTATCGTAATAATGTATGATTTGCAAAAATGAAAACTGCTGCTTAGATGAGATAATCAAAGTGTATGCATTGATTATGGCCAAGCATGCGCCCTTAAAATAGCATAATGAACAACGCGCAACGCGCCACTGACTTTAGACTAGGTTTTTTCAGGTCAGTGGCGCATTTGTTTTATAGAACAGCAAAATAGCATGAGGGAAAGTTTGCGCCGGAACACGCCTCCTCTTTGCGCTGAACCGCCCCGGGGAGCGCAAGTGTATTTCTTAGTTAACCGACGTGTGTCAGTGGAGGGAAAAGCCCGCTTTGCGCGGGTGCAATATAGGAATGATACATGCGTCAGTGTACAAAGTCATTTGCGCCGAGTGCAAGATAGGGCCCATGGTGTCTTTTCTACGATGTTTAGCGCTATTTTGTAGTCTCCAGCACTGATTTAGGGTGTATTCACACCTGCCTTGTTTGGTTCGATTGAATCGAACTCTAGTTCGTTTCCCCCCTTGGTGCGGACCTTTTGGGCAGGTGTGAATACAACAATCGAACTCGGGTGCGGACCAAACAACCGAACCGAGACCCAGCTGAAGAGGTGGTCTCGGTACGGTTCCAAACGAACTCTGGTACGGTTCGTTTACGGTGTGAACATGAACCGACCCAATTGCAAGAAAGCACTGCGCCTTTGAGTTAACAGGCTTCCGTAGTCAGAGATTTTGGCATAATGGTTTGTGTTATTGTTGTTCAAGTGCGAAAGAGAATTCCATTCCGGCGCGCTGTCTGGCCACACGATACTGTTGCGCGTCGTGTGTGCATCATTGGAATGGAATGAATGAATGAGTGTGTGCATCAGGACATTCACATACAGAGCGTTCTCTTTAGTCTAATCGCGCATAGATGCAAAAAAAGCTTTTGTAGTTCATATAATGTAACGATATACAAGGATGATGCTGCGTAAAGCCCCGTTCACACCGCCAACGATTTTGTCGCTACATGTCGCTTGTCTCTGTACTGTGAAGTCGCTTGTGGGCGTTCGTAGTGCTGTCGCTCTAATGTTATTGGTAGACTGCACGTCTGGCCATATATCTATACAAAATACCATCAGAAGTGACATATACAACTATATCATTTTAATTTGACTAGGAATTAGGCTCAAAAGAAACAGTATGCTGTTGGGAGAGTGTTTTTATATTACCACAGCAGTGTTCAGTGGATTAAATCATTTACTAGATTAACGATCGATCAATCAACAAATTAAACTCACTCATTCTGTCATAAATTTCTAAAACGTCATTCGAATTTGACAAATAATCAATTTTCTTGTTCCTAATAATAGTCACCATAATGCAGGGGAAACTGTAAAATGATCTGCAGCAGCAGTGCTAAACTTGTATCATAAAATTACAACACTCGAACTATAAATGTATATGAATTAAACTCACTGAGACTGTCGACAGTTTCTTTTCCATTCGTCATTTTATTATATCCATGTATGTGGTTACAGTCAAATCATATAAAACAGTGAAATGAAATCTCCCTCGAACTCCTCTGTCTTGCCTGCACTCGAGACGGTGACGTGAGCTCCACTGAAAGTCTTCTTTCCTATTGGTTGTCGCTCGTGAAAATCGCTTCTCATTTGCATAAAGTTGAAATTTCTCAACTTTTGTCGCTTGTCTCTTGTCGCTTGACACGCCCACATTCTGTCGCCAACGGTCACTGTCGCTCGTGTCGCCGGATGTCGCCAGCGCTCCATTGAAATGAATGGGATCATGTCGTTTTGTCGCAAGGGGGTAATCCACCAGCCGGAAACTGAAGTCTCCCCGGGCGCCGCCATTGGCTAACAAGCCTTCACCTGCTGTTAGCATCCCATTGGCTCCCATTCATTTTTGCGTCACTTTGACAGCGAATAACTTTACATCTGAGGCGTTCAAAGACTCCATTTGTCCATTGTTTATTTCTAAAGAAACAGGACAATGTATAAAAGGCTCCATTACCATGTATCTTACGTTATGGCCCCGTAGAAGCCGTTTTTGTAAAAATAGGCTAACGATTGCGTCATAACACGCGACTCTCTGTCGCACAGTAGAGAAATTACCGTATAGACAGAAGTAGAAGCTTGCGTGCAATGGGGGGGACGTGGAGGCATAAAGTCAAGGGAGAAGCCCATAGAGTGCCATAAAGTTGCTCCTGCTGC